TCTGCTATTTGTCAAAGTAACAGTATGAAACCAGATATATCCCAGTAGCATTAGAGATACTGCAGCTCCCTGCTTCTACATTTACAGGTTTTGTGCTTTGTTCACATATGGCAGGATGTAGCCAGCTGGATGAGAAAGCTGTATGTTTTTTGAAACAAAAATGTAGATTCTGCAGAAGGTTTATAGAACACACTGGAAAATTATGAATCCTGGAGAAGTAGATATTTTCAGCTGTGATGAAAATTTGTGTCTCAAGTAAGGGTAAACAGAGAAGAATTGTTTACAAAATATTGCGGGATACTGGAGCACTTTTACAAATATGTCAGGATTTTTTTTAGCATGTGTTATTTATAAGGCAAAAAAGATTAAAAAATTGCTTATAAAAAAAACAGTTGTGCAAAAAAAATTGAAGTTTAAGTGGACAATGTAATCTGCTTGATGAAGCAACCCTTTCTGTATTACGTTGGTTAAACTACCACAAAGCAAGACACGGAGCTGCGATAATCGGAGCAAATCCATTCTTGGCAGCAGGCCACAGTGGAGCAGCTTGTGTTGCGTTAATAGAACGGATTCTGTGTACATTGGAGTGTCTTTATTTGAGGAAATAAAGACCTTGCTTTAGGGAAAGCGGTCACCTCTGATCAAAAATGGTTAGAGGTTGTTTAAATTAATGTAGCAAGTGATTATATGTCATGACATTAAAGAAATGTCAACTACATTTGCTGTATATGCTAATAGAAAATAGTATGAGTGGCAATGGTGTTAGGTTGAAACAGATTTTTTTTTTTTTTAGTCTTTGTTTTAGAACAACTTTGTACTTAGAGAATGGCCAAATCTGAATACAGTGTAATAAACTTGAGGTTTGATCTCTTGAATCCTTGTTAATGGAATCTTCTCATTGATTCAAAGTGCTTAGTCTCTTCATAGTTTTTATTAAAGCTGTGCTAAGTCACATTTAAGAACTTGAATTATTTTTTTCTATAGAAACAAATGAAATGTGCTCAAGAATCTGGGAAATGCATTCTCTTCCCTTTAAATGTGTTAGTTTGTTTTTTTCTTCTCATATTTTCACATGCACCCTTATGCTATCTCATTGGTCCCAGCTAAAATTTGTCTGTTTAATCTTCCATGTAAAATTAGTCTCCTCTTACCTTTTTTTTCCTAACCAACGTTTTGAGCAATGTACTTGATGATTCTGATTTTTTTTTTCACTTCATTCCTCTAAAAGCAAAATATTCTTCTGAGATTTTTCTTCCAGCTCCATACTTCCTGTTTGATGTAATTGTGTTGGCTTTTTTCCTTCAGTTTGTTGACTTTTGTGATAGTACATCTCTACTTTTTTTAATTTTTTTTTCCCAGCTTGTGTTTTTGTTTTGTCAAAATACTGGTCATAATTCTTGCTAGTTTCAGTGAAGTCCGTCAACAGTGATAACAATGGGAGTGTTTTTAGCAGCCTTCCTTCCCGATACTGTAACAGAGTGTGTACATGAATGTCCATGTGTGGTGGTAAAGACTCCCAGGGCCATACTGCGATGTCAGGACCAGCGGGCATTCTGTTCTTGTCTTGGCTACAAGCGCAGTGGGCTCTGACAGTCCAGCACTTTCTTGTCCTGGTTACAAGTGCAGTGAGTTGCGACGATTGGGCACTCCCTAAATCATACCTGAAACTCCTGTTGCCTGGGAAACTCCTGCTGTCTGGATCGTAGCCTGCTCTGGAAGGAGCCAGAATTACCTAACAAGAATTATGGCCAAATGAAAAAAAAACAAACAAAAACACAGACCCAAGTCAGTCATCTTGTGATCCTGAAAGCAGCAATCCTAAGTGAGACCCTTAGATCTCTCTGGGATTGCAGGAGGTTGTGACCCTGTATCTTCCCCCTAAGCTGGGACAGCTCTCAGAGTAGATTCCATGAGGATTTTGAAGGAACGGATTTTGTGAGGATATCCAAGATTGTCTGCTGAGAGATGCCGACCAAGAGAAAGGGTTATAGAAGAATAGGGTAACCTCTATATCTCTGTGTGTGTCTTAGCCTCTCTATCTGTGTGTGTGTGTCTCTGTGTATAATTTGATTTAGGGAATGAGTGAGCCTTGCCGTTTTTGAATCTTTAAGTAAGTTGCTGTGTTGAGTATAGTACATTTTACTAAGCCTCTCTGATAATTGGCTGATAATCAAGTACTGTTAAATATCACCCAGCCTAATCTTGTGATACGCCATAACAGCATTAATAAATGTTAAATTGCTGCTACATCAAAGTTGTGTAAAACCTATGACCACTCATTTTGCAACAAGTTGACAAAACAAGCAGGATGCTAAAGCTGTCCTGTGCCACACGGTGCCTGCTGTCAGTGACGTGTGTTGGGACGTTGGAGGTGGGTTGACTGACAGAGCAGCACGGTGTGTAAGCTTGTACTTAACTTCAGTGCTACTTACCTGTAGCATGTTGCTTTTTGAACATTGTGTCTGTTAATGATTTGAGTCACTGGTGCAGGCAGGAGGGTATGGGTGCTACTGCATTTGTTAAAATGCAAAGAAAACCCACTTAAAAACTTTACCTGAATCCAGCTTCTGATATTTCTGTTGGTCTGAAAACAGAGCGAGGCTCACTGGCACTTAGGAAAATCTGTGCACACGCGAGAAGTGAGTGGGCTCTGGCTGAGCAGGGGTGGCCTCAAGCGCTCTCCAGGGCGTACAGGCAGGAGGAATGTCCACGCGTGAGGGGCCAGTGACAAAGTGTTTTGAGAAAGAGCACATGACATATAATGATTTTGTCTTGCCTCGGCCAGTTTGGTTTCTCCTGGTACATGTAAAATGCAGGAGTGTTCAAGTGCTGTCCTAGGTACAGAGAAAAGAGGATTGTGGAGACAACCCTCCTGGTGATGTGGGAAGGAGAGGGCACGGGGTCACCCCAAGAACAGTCAGTGCACGTGTAGCCCCAGGTATGAATTTTTAAGGCTCAAGGAGAGAATGAAGGAAAGTTGAGGCACTTACTGTGGAACTACCAAAAAAGTGCTTCTGATGGAGACGCCTGACGAACAGATGCAGCAATATGAGCGGTGGTTTCAGCATTAGAAACTCTTACATTCCATAAAACAGTTGGTTTTATGGAGCACCCTGGTGAGTGCAGGGACAGCAGTCCCTCACCAAAACCGGGACTGACCAAACCGTTGATTTAGTCAGCTTTTGATTTATCATCTGTGGCTACATCAGACTAGTCCTGTGTTTTGATCATGAAATGTACTTCAAGTCAAGTCTATTATAAAATGGAACCAAATTTTAGGAAGATACTCCTTTTCATTTGTAGTAGTTGTAGGGTCAAAATCCCTGAACATAAAGGCTTATTACAGCTGAGAAAAGAGTTTGTCAGGATTTACTATCTGTTACTAAAGGAAAAGCGTTTGTTAAATCACACTTTTCGTTAACCTCTCATCACATGCAGATAGTCTTATTTTTTTCTGCTTAATGATATTGAAATATACTTAAATAAATGTAAGTTAAGTGAATATATTTAATATTTTTCTGAATGTTTTTAAGAAAGCAATTACAGTAGTTTCCAAAAGCTTTTGCTAACAAATGGGAGAAAAATTGAGACTTGACGTACTAAGGACAAGATGATAAAAAGGAAAGAAAACTCTGGAGTTTATTAGGAAAGTCTTGTATCTAATAATTTGTCCCAGGAAGTTTTTGATATTTCTAATTCAACTAAAGTAGTTTATAGCCTTTCTTAAATGAATGTAGTGAATTACTCTGCACTAATTCAGACAGGTCATAGGCGATGAGTGATCAAAAGATTTATATTTCAAACGTCTGATTTACTTAAAATAAAAAAAGCACTTACGAATATATATAAATGTTTTGCTAACTTCAATTTCTTTTTTTTAGTAGATCATTGAATGGGTCTTCAGAAGTAGAGTTGCTAAAACAAATAGAAAAGTAAGTATGCAAGTGTTACTTTTCACAAAACCACATATCCAACTTAGTGCTACATCTAAGCTAATAAACTCTTTTCTCATGTTGATTTTTAACATCTGTAATAATAAATTTTTTTATATAGCCTCATAAATCTATTTCCAGATGAGCATTTTTATTTTCTGAAGGTAGGTATTATTTCTGTTGCTGCTTCTGAATATGTCCTGCTGTTTCTTATTCTTATCTGTAATAGCTAGAACTATCATTGTGAAGGGAAACTTTGAAAAATATAATTCTAGCAATTCCTTACCTGTTTTCAACAATGTATATTATATAATTTGTCGCCTTTATAATAATCAGAAAGGTTTTGGCTCTTCAAGTTTGTGTTGTCTAACATGGAATGACTAGAAACTTTTATAGTGATGATTTATTTCCATCTGTATTTAGTTACAAATTTTGATTTTCAAAGTCACCCTTCTCTGGAAAGAGGAATTTTTGTGTTCTGCAGTCTCCCACTTTAAAACAGGAAAAATCTGCATGTGAAGTGGAGCTTTATACTAACTGAACGATGTGTTGTGGCTTAATCTCTTTCCAGATGATTGAGGTAATGAAATAATTCGATCAAGGTTATTATATTACATAAAAAACTAGAAATTCTTCAATCTAATAAAAAGAAGTTGATTTTTTTTAAAAAAACACCTGTTTTTAGCAGAGCAATATCAAAATTACTGTAAGGTATGCGTGTATGCATATCTGTGTACAGCTGGTATTTGCAATATGCATGTATTTCAGCAGAGCTCTAAGTCTTGTAATTGTACTGATTATACTGCACCGATTTCCAGTTGTTCAGTTGTTCTTGCACATGCTCAATTATTTTTGCTAAAGTTCATCACTTTTGATAACTAGATAGACTTGTTTTTGAATCGGCTAATTAAGAAAAAGAAAACAGTGTATGTACCTGACTCGTGTGTAATAGGCTATACTGGGAGAACTCCAGTCCTTTATTCTCACCATCCTTCCGTCTATTCGTAATGAACCTGGTTTTGGCTAATGGGATTTTTCTTGTCTTTAGTGGCATATCGAAGAGATGAAATGTGGTCTGAAGGGCGATATGACTATGAAAGAGTTCCAAGAGAACGTCTCCCTCCAAGGATTCATCCTGATGTAAGCGTATAGTATGTTTCTTTAGTGTTACACCACTATACTATAACTTTATACTATGACTTGCACCGTAAGGGCTGGATTAATACACATATATAAGTTCCTAGTATACCTGAAGTTCTGTTCTTTTCTCATTCATTTAAGCCAACATCTAGCAAGTGCATCTACACAGAGATAATAGGATGCCTACAGAATTAAATCTTGTAATTTTTTTCCTGATATTTTAAAAGTGTTTTAGAATATGTGTATTTTGATAACTGTGTTTTTTGTGGGTAATTCTTTGTGTTATCAAACACAAGATTTTTAATAACTTCTGGAGAACGAGAAGCCATACTACATTATATATTTTCTCCAGACATTTTTTATGTTAGTACATATTTGAAATGACTTAGGGTGGTAAAATCACGCCTTTCAGTATTGTCCTTATCACCGATGCAGTTTTTCATTATGATGCTTAAACTACAGAAGGAAATGTTTATAACAAATGTTGAAAATACATCTTTGCTAAAGAAATTGTGTTTCGGATTCTTGTAAGGGAAATGCGTATCAAGAAATGTATTGGTGTAAGTCTACTGTCTAGACATGGAGAATTCTACTGTATGTTATGCTTGTAAAAGTAAACGCAGAAGCTATGCTTGCTCTGCTGTAGAATAACTTTAGAATGCTTTTAGAAAATCTCTGCCCTGGTTGGGTGAAATTTTCTTTTTTTTCTTTTCTCCTGTGTGTGAAGTCTCTAAACAAGACAGAAAACAGGTTGTACGTTTGTCATTTGAGCTATTACACCTTAAGTAGAGCTTGAAGAGTACTTTTTGATATTTATATTTACATGCTATGCAATGTACATTTGGCAAAATAAAATTTCAGGTACTTGTGCTTATTATCTGGCTTTTCTTTTAATTCTTTTGAATGTTGGAATAATAGCATAGCTGATGTAACATATTTTCTGCGTTCCTTCTACTGCATTTTCAGCTTGTCATTGTAGAAGTGTACTGATGTTGGTAACATGGTAACTAGTTACGAACTCTTCTCTGCTGAGTTGTGTATTAACATTTGGCTACTCTGTGACATTTTTAACTCTCTTTGCAGGCCACAACAAAATTTCTGCATTTTCTGCAAACTGGAAATCAGCTAAGTTTGCGCAGCGTATTTGATCAGCTGCTTCTCCAAAATTTTTATCATCAATAGGACATGAGGAAAGGCAGAATGCATTTTTAATAGATTCTTTTTTTTTTTAATCCATGCTTGACTTGGCTAACACATTGCTAATTTAATTTAACCATTGCAACAGTGACATTCCTAAATTCTTTTAGTCTTTCAAGCTGTCCAGGAAACAATGCGTGGCATATGTGTTATGGAAGTTTACAGTTCAAAGATTTGATGCAAGAATTAACTAGATAGTTCAATGCTAGCTTTAGATCACCTGTGTTTGGAGCTGAGGATGAAGGGACTAGCAGAATATGCCCCTTTATCTCAATCAGTAATATCCACCTGCACCAAAACAACATCTCCAGCAGTTGGGCAAACTAAGATCTGTTTTCTCTCCGCCTTACTGAAAGATGGATGTGAAGCTCTGTCTTAGACAGCTCTTGATTCGAGAAAATTGGCAGGCAGTAGCTATCCTTGTAAGCCTGTGCTATTCTGTCTGTGTTCATGTGTAGACATCTGATGGAATTTTGACTAGACAAGTAAAACAGAATTTATTCAGTCTATGAACGTGCTTAGTATTTGCTGATAGGTTAGTGCATGGGAACTGACACATGCCAGTGATGCAGAAAGAAGTATCTCTTGTTTGAAAGAACAAGAAACTTTTCCTAATCTAAACAGAGTGCTACTTACATATTAAGTACAGACTGTAGTAGAAACACGTGCCTTCAGATCCTGGTAAACAACTTAAACTTGGGAGCACTTGCCAGAATTAACCGTTAAGTGGGAACACCTTGAGCTTTGAGGCAGCTACCCTTCTGTATGTCGGTATCATTATGTGATGGGGACTTCTGGATGATGTTAAAGCACGGATCAGTTTTATTTTAGCTTCAGAGCACATCTTTGTAAGACACCAAACTAAAAAAAAAAAAAAAAAGAAACCCAAACAACCTGTGGAGGTTGTACAACGAGGTGAGGGTAGATCAAACATTGTGGCTCTATATGAATGGGGAGGGCAATTAGCTCAGTCAGTTAGAGCGTGGTGCTGATAACACCAAGGTAGCGGGTTCAGTCCCTGTGTGTTGTCTGATCTAGTCGAGAGGCGTCCCTGCCCATGACAGGGAGGTTGGATTAAATGATCTCTAAGGTCCCTTCTAGCCTAGGCCATTCTATGATTCTATGAATGTGTATATAGTCCCTGTTTTGCATCAGTAGGGCTGTGTGCTGGCTTTGGATTGCCCTCTAGTGAATTTGTTGGGTGGTCTCTGAAATCAGAACTTAACTTTTTTTTGCATGACAGTATTTTCCAGTTTATGAATTTAATGTTTGTGGTTTTTTTCTATGAAAACTATTGGTGCATTAGGTTTTGTCTTGGGTTACAATATGTAACCAAAAAATGTGTAATTCTATTTTCATCTGTTGAAACCGGTTGGAAGGTATTTTCATTTCTTGTTAACTCCAGGGGCAGGTGCTTTTGTTAGTGGGTAATCGTGGGTTAACGATGGGGAAAGGTGGGAGCCGCCCCAGCCCAGAACTTCGGGGGGGTGGGGGGGTGGTAGCCTCGTGGCCGAGAGA